GAAACATGGAGAGGAAGTGATGCCAACTCCCATCCTGCAGAAGCTCACATTGCATCAAGACAGACACTGTATCGGCAGAGATGGATGTACCAGTGAATAACTTCTCTATACTACACCACACCGCACTATACTACACTACACTACACTACACTACATCACTGCTTTCTTGGTCAAAGGATTAGAAAAGCAGAAAACGTGTTGTGACTAAATACTGTATTTCCTCCATCTTATAATTACCAAGCCCAATTATTATTAACAAATATCTCTCTTTGCTCTAATATACATTTAATAGCTTGTTGCCCAGGAGTTAGACATTGAATCAAAATAATTTTCTTCATTCACTATTGCTCCAAATATTGGAATACTGGCATAAGGAATATGAGCAATTAAGTAAGACAAGGATTTGGGGTTATATCTATGAGAGGGGAAAGAATGACACCCCAGATGATTTATTTACTGCATTCATGCAATCACAAATGCCCAGTGAATGCTGATTTCACATTGAGGCCGCTGGCATAATGCATCAGGCATTAATTGCACGAACATTTCTTTAGAGCTGCTTAGCTGAAGTTTATCACGATCATTCAGCCATTGCCTAGCAACTTGTGAAGGCTATCAAAGAGCTCTTTGTCCTCAGTCCTGGCAAAAACAGTCCCTTACAGATCCCCTTATCAGCATTAGAACATTTATCAGAAGAGAAATGCTCCCACTGAACCAGAGATGGCTGCAGATTTAAACCTACCCCCTTCCCATTTTGCCCCCTCTTCCCAATATTTTAGGAAGTTGTTTCCTGAACTATTCAAGTTTTTATCTATTTTTTGCTAAAACTTCTGAAGGAATTTCCTTAAGATATCATATAATTCTTTTATGGCCTAATAATCTGGGCTTACATGTAAAAACACAGACCTGAGCCCCCAAATGCATATTTGCTCAAAAATAAGCAAGGCAGACATCTCTACCTCCTTAGCAGGGAAGGGTCACCATTTTTGGTACACAACCTATAAATATGTTGGGCTTCCTGGTTTGAGTGAAGACTTATTCAGGAAAGCAAAGAATGATGTAGTTGCTCCATCCCATTGGAAAGTGGTCCTGAATATCATATAGGAAAGAGGAATTATGCTTATTGATTCATTCAACAAATATTTATTTAATACCTCCCATGTGCTAGGTGCTATGGTGAGCAAAAACAGACATTGTCTCTCCCTCAGGGAGCTGCCAGAATTAATTACCTTTGGTGGAGAATTGGAGGGGAGTCGTCATCTGCATTTTCTTCTGTATCTCTCCAGAATTCATCTTCCTCTGCATCTGTGCTGACATTGACTTAGGTTCATGCCTTGTCACTTTGATCATATTTTTTTATCCCCATTTGGGGTTCCCCAGGTAAAAGAGCACCTGACAGGTTTTCTTTCTTCCCAGGCTCAACATCTTCAGGCCATCTTCTGTCCTCCTATAAAGCGCAAATTTAGTTATGCTCCTTCCTTCTTAAAATTGTTCATTTGGTCCCTGTTAACACCAGCGGGAGGTTCACACCCTGTAGCATGGCACTGTTGGCTCAACTTGATGTGGCCATTGCTTGGCTGCCCAGATACCTCACCTGCTCTCCCCAGCCCTTGAGTTTCAGCTGTACCCGACACTTGCAATTCCCAAAGGACAGACACTTCTTTGGGCTTCTGAGCCTTGCAGCCACTGTTCCTTTAGCCTACAGTCCTCTTCTCCCTTCACAAGCTACCTCTGTTCCTGATCATGCTCCCCAGGCAGAGCGGGGTGTGCCTGTTCTGTAGTCATTATCACCCTGGAGTTACATTTTTAAGAAAACTTCTCACCAGCAAGCCAGTAGCTGGCCAGATCCCTTAAATGTTTGCTGAGTTGGGTTTCCTTTTCTGCCTTTGATAAACAAGGAAACAAAAAGATGTTTTGTAGGACTCTAGCAAAGTTGGCAGAAAATAAGCGGAGATAAATATAAATAATACACATGTACACACACAGAGACAGAAAAAATGGTTAAAGCAAAATTTACAACTCTTCATCCTGGAGAATATTTCATTTCAGGATTATCCTTACATGGAAGTCACATCAGCAGTCATATACCTGGTGCGACTTAGAGAAACAGTTACCCAACACTCTCTTCATGATACTTACTGCCTGAAATTCCACAATTAGATATTTACTTCTTAGGCTCTTAGAATGCATGCTGTCTTAGAATATCAATATTCTCCAGAGAAGGTACTACTCACCAATAATAAATGTATCTTGTCCTTTTCTGACTGTAAGATGAAGGGAAAAATAACCAGGAGGGCACAGAGGACCAGAAGGGCAGAAGCAGCAATAGGAGAAGAGGGTGCAGCAAGAGGAGGAAAGATAACTCCACACCTTTCCCTGGAATTGCCCCCTAACTGAGACATACTTGATATTTATCTTCACATAGATTAGGCATTAGTATCTGCAAAATGCTAACTCATTTTTTACTGATGATAGAGTAAAATAAAAGGACTTGAATTTTTTAAGAGGGGGTTGGTAATAGAATTTTTATAATTTATATTCAAAGGAAACATTTCTTTGCAATTCTAAGATAAAAGTTATTTTCAAGTAAGCTTGAGACAGTTGAAAGATGCTTATATGATTGGACACAGAAGGTTTGATCAATGATCTATAGACTTTGCTATGATTCTCTGGAAATGAAATGATGGGTAAACCATATGAAACAAGCTTATGTCTGCAGTGGATCTTCTTGCTATAGGGTGGGCCTTGTTACTTACACAAACATTACCAGGATATAGTTGATTATGACTGACGGCTAGGCTAATCAGCTAAACAAACCTCTTAAGGGAAGAGGAATCAGTTATGAAAGAAAGGATCTCTTTACTCAGATTTGCCTATCTGGCCTGTAGTCGTTTTTCTTAACATGCTCAGATTGAGAATGGGCTAAGCTATACGTAAATCATGATAACCTATGTTATAAAAAAGCAGCATATACTTTTGACTTAAAGTGTACTCCATTCCATCTTAACTGAATTTATTAAGTGTAATTTGAAGTAGTGATTTGGCAAATAGTTGATAAACTAAGTCATCATAAATGGCTAAATCTTATGTCTCCCCCAAGTCCCCACCCTAACAAAAAAGCATAAAAAATCAGGACTAATTTTTCAGGATGATGATCAGTCAGATTAACCAGATAATTACTCAGCTTCCACTTCTTCGAAATCTTCACTGGGATTTGCCTTGATGGCTCCAGACCAAAATGCCCTGGATTGGTTGTCTAAGTCTCTGTGATAAACAGGTGTCCCCATCTTAGCTGTTGTTAAGCAGGAGTCTTGGCTCACGGTCAGAGTCTAGGACCTGAATTTGAATTGAGAGTGAAGCATTTAGCAGGTTACCCTTGTTGGTACTTTCTTTAAATTCACAGAACAAAGTTTAGGTTTGCAGACTTATTTTGAAGTGGTTTACTGCTTAATATGTTTGATGCTTCTGCCTAGTATAGGTGTGGATATAAATTCCAGGTAAGATTCTGTGGCTGATGTATCACGTTTGGGGAGGGTAGAGTTTGCAATTTCATCTCAGTTTTTCAAAAGAGATTTGAAAAAAAAAAAAAAAGATAATATATTCATGATTGCAAGAAAAAAATCAATGTAGTAGGCCCAGATTTCATATTTTATTCTGTGGGAAATATGTAAAGTCCAATTGGTTTATGAACAGACCTGGTTTCCTTTCTTCAGCCCACGGTCCAAATGAAATCAAAGTCAAGCTACACACAATGAGGTCTGCGTGCTTTCTTGCTGCTTAATGGCCTTTACCGTGTGGGAGACTTTCAGAAGGAAAAAACAGAAAGAGTAAACAGTGGATCTTCTTGATATTCTGCTATTCCGGTGTTCACCGGAAATGGCGTACCAATTAGCAACATTCATGTTATAGTTTGGGACTGTTTCCATATTAAGGTTCAGACTGTGGTGACTTTTTGCCTGATTACTTTAGAAGTCAGAACTGTAACACAAGACGTGACCGTCTCAGCATCGTGGTGCTGGGTGGTTGTTAGTATTCTGGAATCCGGGAGGGTGTGTGTGCTTGCTCTTAATGTGTTTTCATTTGCTCTGAGGCCAGCAACTGCCAGTTCACTACTAATTATTACTTATTGCCTTTCAATGTGAAGAGGATTTCTTTGAGTTGTGAAGAATTCTGGCAAGAAAGAGGCCCCTATTGTATTTCCAATATGAATATACAGAAGAGACTTTTATTTATCTCAAATAAAACCTGGTTTTAGATATATTTTTGCAAGCTTGGCTTTCCTCTCTGTTTCCTTTTGGCATTTTTTTTTGTTGTTGTTGTTAATTCTAAAGTTTCTCAATACTTAAAATGAGAGTTAAACACCTGCATACAGTTTCATAATAATTGATAGTGTAGACAACAGCTACAAATAATGTCAGTTGTGATATTCTGCCAATATCTCTCCAATGTCAGATAAGATTTTTAAGGAGGAATTTGGTGGCACGTGTCAGTACATCTTTCTGTTCTGCACAATGCACCATCAAGTTATTTTAAGATTATGTTTATTTGTTTAATCCAGGGGAGGGTTTTCTTTATGTAAAACATTTTATGGAACTGTGCATTGCCTTATCCTTTTACACTTTATTTCTCTATGAAAACAAAGAATGGAAGGAGGAGGAGGAAGTCACCAAGGCTAAAATATATCGTATTGTTGATAAATTTTACTTGCAATAGACAGAGCCCTTGGGCTTCCACTTTGCTCCCTCCTCCTGAAGAATAAAAATCAATATAACAAAAGTGTGCTATTCCTTCTTCGTGACTCCATAGAAAATTGTTCTGGGTATTATTTTAATGTTATGATGATACTGTGTACTGATGTGTATAAGGTGATAACTCGCCATTCATTGCTGCTCGTGATCCTCAGGTTTAGTACTGTGAGCTTAGTCCTCATCTTTGAATTAGTATCTGTGGAAGTTCCACACTGCCTCTCACTCAGCCTTGCCCCATGTGCATTATTACAGGTGTCCACTGTGACAGCGTGTGTGCTGAGGGACGCTGGGGCCCCAACTGCTCCCTGCCCTGCTACTGTAAAAATGGGGCTTCGTGCTCCCCTGACGATGGCATCTGCGAGTGTGCACCAGGCTTCCGTGGCACCACTTGTCAGAGGAGTAAGTGTCTCATTAGGCAGTAATTTCCACCTTCCCTTCCCTGGGCACCATGTACAGAATAATGATCTCTGTCCTACCTCTCAGTTTATAGTGATGTCCTGTTGCACTTGAAGGCAAAAGAGAGTGTAATGGTTCACTTGTCCTTTGCAGAACTGTGTTGAGAGCACTTCTCCAAGAACTTCATTCTTTCCAGCCTTCAGAACTAACCTAACAGATGGGGATTTAACCATTTCTTCTCAATAATTACTTCATTGCCTCATTGGCACAACCATCAGGATATATTTCTTCATCCTTCCTGAAAGCTTGCAAATGGTGTTCTAGAAATTCATTGACCTGTAAATATTTTATTCAGCAATTTGGCATTGGCCTTACCTCAATTACCAGACGTCAACATCAGCCAAACCTTGAGGCAAATCATTCATCCTGCTAGTAGTCTTAAAATCAGTGCTATGGGGAAAATGGAATTGCAAAGTTGAAAAAGGAGACTGTTGACATTGGTCCTTAAGACTTCTGAGTTAGAGAAGGATCCATAAGATTTTACTTAATCTTTTAGTGAATGCAATCAAAAAAGAATATGTGACTAATTATAAGTTACACTATTCTAATTTTTAAAATTGCCTTTTCCCCCATAAGAATTCTATGCAGTTATCCTATATTTAAAACTGAATAATATATTGGCAACAACTTAAGTATACAGCATTTTGCTTCATCACTTTTCGATTATAGTCATTGACCTGGACCATTTTGAGGAGGAAAAACCTTCAAATTTTGACTGTCGATCTATTTTTATTGCCAGTAATGACTCTTAAAGAATAAAGGATCAATAAATAGTTTGAGAGTGCTTATTTGAGACTTATTAGTATTACAATTTTTTGATCTCTTTATTCAATGAAAATTCCTGGAGCCCCTGCTTTATGCCAAACCTTAAGCTAATTGGGGCCTTAAGTGGGAAAATAAAGAAGATTAAGACATTTGCTTGCTCACAAGAAACTCAGAGTTTAGTGACTTCTTTTCCTTATTAAAGAGTTCCTTTGTTCCTTCGTTGTTCTTGTTTTCTACTTGGAAAATTCTCCGTATCGTTCTTACTTTTTTTTAAGGTTTTGCTTTTTAACCTCTAAAACTTTGACTAGATCCCAATCTGGAATGCGAGAGAGACACATCTCAGAAGGATAACTGCTGATTTCCCTTCTATTTTCAGTCTGCTCCCCTGGTTTTTATGGGCATCGCTGCAGCCAGACGTGCCCACAGTGTGTTCATAGCAGCGGGCCCTGCCACCACATCACCGGCCTGTGTGACTGCTTGCCTGGCTTCACAGGTGCCCTCTGCAACGAAGGTAAGGCACGAAGCATCCCGGACAGCTGGCTGGTGATGAGCACGCCCTGGAGCTGAGCACGCCCTGTCCTCAGGCCTCCCTTGGCCTTCCTGAAGGCCATGTTTTCAGCTGTCTGCTGGGAATGTCTTCTGCTGTGCTGTGTCTGCAGCTTCTCAGATAGGACTTTGAGCTTTGGAAAAACTGGCTTGCCACTCCAGCAAAACGTTTTTATTCCCTGAGTTGTGCTACTCTTCAGTTTTAGCTGGACACATCGTCCCATAAACAATCAATATGAGAAAGGATTTTTGACTCCCAGAACAAGAAGTCATGAAGTCAGATTTCTAGAAGTGCTGGTTTGTGATGCCGTAATGAGAATCTTTGGCTTCATGGATTTGTAAAAATGAGCCCATTCAAGATGAGGGATACTGTTGAACAGAGATAGCTACCAATGAGCAGCTGGGCCTGTGACCTTTAAAGTCATTTCCTGTGCTAAGATTCTAGGGTTCTGTGAGAGGGGTTGTGATTGTGACTTACTGACCTATAGCTTATTCACAGTGTGTCCCAGTGGCAGATTTGGGAAAAACTGTGCAGGCATTTGTACCTGCACCAACAACGGAACCTGTAACCCCATTGACAGATCTTGTCAGTGTTATCCTGGTTGGATCGGCAGTGACTGCTCTCAACGTAAGTCTTGTTTGAGAACAATTAATCAAGTGTTCTTATTTGTTTGTTTTCAGATTCTTTAGGATTGAAGTATGAGTGTTTTTATATAATCAAGAAAGAATATATGACTAATTAAAAGACACAGTCTACTTTAAATTCTTTTTTTTAAATTATTTTTTTCCCATTAAGACCTCTATGCAATGGTCCTATGTTTAATCCAAATAATGTCTTGGAAAGAACCTAAATATGTAACATTTTGCTTATCCACTTTTCAGTGATTCATCATCCATTGAAATAAAGCAAAACAGCCGTATTTAGAAGTTTATCTCTTCATTTTGTGTTTATCTGGAGAGTTAATTACAGAGAAAGAAAAAATGGAATTAAATGATGTGAGCCTTAGAAACCTATTGGGAACCCGAGTGAACTGCCCACCTAATATGCTTACCTTCATCTTGGCATCACCCAAGTGCCTTCCACACCATTGGATTTCAGACAGGAATTGTGTGACCCTATAAGGGACTATATAGATGACTCTTAGAGCACCCATGTCATGAAAAAAAAGACATTGACTATAAGTCATTCATGGATGTTTTGAAAAGGTCAGGGCAATGTCTAAAAGTACTCAACTTTTGACCAAGGAATAGCATATGTATGGGGTAATCTGGTTTCATTCATTATAAATTTTATGAAACACTCTCAGTTTATATTGAATTCCCCCATCATGCACATAAGAGAAATCAAAGAATTACTGTGTGCAGTCATTTTACATGGTGCTTTATTGATAATTTAATTCAAACTTCACAGTTACAGGCAACCTGCAAATACTAATTGATGAGCAATATGTTTTTTGCTGGAAGATTTTTTCTGAATGTTAATTTTTTCCGTAAGTAGTCCAGGCTGTACCTCATTTTTTAGGAATAAGGGAACAGAGCTAATAAATCTCAGAAGTGTAGCTCTTTGGTGAAGGAAGTGTTATGCGATGTGATTTCACTGCATTCTGGGGGCATCACTTCAGAAGAAATCAGTCTGTTTAAATCTACATGTGTTGCAAGGGCTGTGACGGATAGCTGGGCATATGGACAGATTGATAAATAGATACTGCAAAACAGGGTTTGGGAAGAGTAAAAGGTCCAATATCATTGTCATAAAATGATTGATTTATATTGCTCCTTTGAAAAGCAGTCTTTATTTTGGAAATTCGTCCCTTCCTCATTTGGAGGAGGAATGTGCTGAAAGGAACAAAAATAGAAACACAACTATGAATGGAGACTATAGTGTAGCCTGCCCCCATAATCACTCCACAGGAAGCTGATTTATTTGGCAAAAGCCTTTGCTTCTCCTGGGGATCATTGATTTCATTGATTCCCTTATGGACTCTATGGAACCATCTTCATATTTCTTCTTGGCTGATTGTGAGCCTGTCTAAAGAGAGCAAAGTCCTTCACAGTGAAAACACAGACTTTGAAAACTCAAAGGGGTACATTTAAAGGGGCAAGTGTCTTTGGGAAAATGATTTTTTAAAGCACTATCTCTACATTTACCTTTTGGGAATATAAAGTTGAGTAATGCTTATTCCCGTTCTCTGATCATAACAAATATAGGGAGAAAAACCTAATGGCAGTGGGTTACTTCAGAAAACTATATCGTGAACACAAATGGGTTTACAAAAGCTGATTAAATATCATCTAAGGAATAGGTTGCTTTAGGTAAAGAGTGCTTCCCTGAGCATCAGACGGGTTAGACATTTCAATAGTTTTCACCGAGTCTCCCTGTGGCTTTAAAAGAGGGAAGCTGTATTTGTCTAACAAATAGCAAATATTGTTATTAATCTGTGAGACCTTGTATGAGTCACTATTAACCTTTTGTGGCCTCAGATTCTTCAACTGTAAAATGAGAGTGTTGTACTTAGAAAATTTGTTCTAATGCTCACTCGAGACCTCAAGTGTCAGCTAGTATTTTCCCCTTGCTCTTGGACAAAAACAGTGCACACAATTATGGAAGAATTTTTTTTCATTTATAAAGTTACTTCATATGTATTACTGATTGTCTTTATTGGTCCATATTCCCTACGGGGTAGCCATGTAGAAATTACAGGCAGTCCTCCTTTTATGCTATTATGTTCCTGAAGTATTAATATGAATAAAAAGTATTTTTTGTCAATGAAATTATTTTACCCCCTGATCTCATGTTATTATTTCACAGATACTTTTTCTGACTTTCTGATGTCTCTTCAGTTGGCAGTGACCCCTAATGATTTAATTGTATAATTTTCTGCATCTTCCAGTTAAGAGTTTTTACAAGGAAACCAATTTTTACATACCGCTGGGAACCTCAATATTTAAAAGGAGCCTAAAGTGGCAACTCTAGAGTAGACTGAAGAGTACAGGATTTAGAAATTGTGAACATGAGCTACATGGCCTTCGGTCCTTTAACCTCTCTTGAGTCAAGTCATTTTCCACACCTTATTTCTGCTCAAATGTCCTCTCCTCACAGAGGCCTTCCTCAGAGGACTAGCTCCCAAAATTATTGTCTTCCTTGTCCTCTTTATGTTTTTTTCATAATACTTACCACCATTGATTTTTCACTTGGTTGGTTGGTTGGTTGGTTGGTTGGTTTGCCTGCCTCCCCTACCAAAATATAAGCTTCCAGAGGACGGTTTGGACTTTGTCTTATCCTCTGCTATCTTCCTTGTGCCTGGAAGAGTGTTGGGTACATAATAGGTGTTGAATGTGTGTTTGTTTAATAACTGAATCTGTAAACTTGAGGTGATTTTTGCCCCAGCCACCTCACTCTGCAGTTGTAAATGGATACATATGTCAGTAATGACAGTCATTGTTGAAGTCGGCATGGCCATCTGGGATTTAGTGCAGAATTTAGAGCAGCGTGCTTTCTTAGTCCTAATGTACACTGCTAACCTCTCACATGCAGGGAGATGTGTAGGGGTGGATGGAATTCTCCCTACTTGGTATTGGCCTCAGAGCTCTGATGGACTTCTCCACACCTGTAATTTCAGCATGTCCACCTGCCCACTGGGGCCCAAACTGCATCCACACCTGCAACTGCCACAATGGAGCTTTCTGCAGCGCCTACGATGGGGAATGTAAATGCACTCCTGGCTGGACAGGGCTCTACTGCACTCAGAGTAAGTGACAAGCCTTCTGAGGCTCACCAAGGGGAGCCTCGTCCAAGGAGGAAACAGCCTCACCCTCCTCATGCGTGACTGGAGCTCAAAAAAGGTCCCTGAGGTTGGAGTACTTCCCTCTCCTAACGACCTGTAGACATCTAAATTTCTCTAAGTGATTAAGAGCTACTACATTCCAAGTATTCTCTCTAGGTTCTATCAGGACACTGAGGTGGAGCAATGCTGTGTGATGGTGCGCAGGTTATTTCTCTTCTCTCCTTTAACCAAACCATATTTATATGGATCAAATTCTCAATTCTTTATTCTAACAGCACAAAAGTTAGGATATAAAGATTAGAAAGGTAGTGAAGACAGCAAGCCTCACTGCCTGATTTAATGTGTGCTCCTGGAAAAGGTGGAGTTCCATGGGTTTTATACTCTAGCAAGCTTCGGAATCACCTGGAGTACACAACAAACACAGAAGCTGGTCCCATCCCAGAGAGCCGGAGCAGTGGGTCTGGACTGGCACCTGAGAATTGCCATTTTTATCAACTGGTAGTAATGCCAGCCTGGGACCATGCTTTGAGAGCCGCTGCTCTAGTTCTTTTCCCCATTTTGTATTTCATAGCATCCTAACCATTTTTTCTTCCATAAGGCTTTTAGCATGATAGGATATAATGTGCAAAGTACTTACTCCAAAGCTGAGCATCATTGGGGAAGGAAGATTATTCTCTGCCTTCTTACCTTCGGTTGAATAAAGGAGACAAGACAGGAAGGCATGTGTTATGATTAAGTACTAATAATAGCATATATTTTAAAATAATAGCAACAAGCTGAGGAGGAAAGATGGGTCTGAAATTGAGCAATTCTTATTTAATACTAATTAGAATACATAATTAAAGAATAGGCTGAAAAAGTCTTTAGAAACTTTCTAGAAGAGAATGTAGACCTTGAACCAAGCTTTGAAAAGGATAATTGGCAAGGAAGGTGATTGGCCCAAGCATATTCTTCAGAGCTCGTATATCTATAAATATTGTTTAACTTCTTAGAGAAAGGTACTTGTAAGATATTATTTATAATTCTAAAATTAGAACGTGCTTCAAACAGTGAACCCTTTTTCAAGTGCAAGTAGCATGATATAGTGGGAGCAACATGGGGTCCGGAGCCAGACCTCCCTGCGTTTGAATCATGGCCCTGCCAGTTGCCAGCTGTGTGACTTAGGGTACTTGGGGCTTAGTTCCTGTCTACAGGATGGGAATATCCATCCCTGCATTTCTGGCCTGCTGTAAAGATTAAACAAGAGAATGCATGAAAAGAATCTGGCACAGAGTAGGTGCTAAATAAATGCATGACAGCAGGGGGTCATCAGTGCGTACTGTCATCTGGGCACTGCCTCTGCTTCTTGAAAGTTCCATAAGAAAATGAGAAAATGAAAAGCATATGTAATATTTGGAAACAACCATTGAATCAGCCTGCATTGAATCTTTCATCACACCAGAGATCCTTAAGACACTCTTGCAGGGCAGCTGCCAGCCCATGTAAGCCAACAGAATTTGTGGGTGTCTTTAGCTCAAGAGAGTCACCGGTCTCAGCATTGAAAATTATGCAGCAGTGTGAAGGCTTATTGCTTTTTACAAAGTACCTGTGAAGCATAATTGTTTTTTAAGGTAAGCATTCTAGTACACCTCTTCAGGGAAGTTGATATTATCTAAGTTAATAACAGATACAGTGGACAAGGCTAGTAGCAACAATAGAGAGATGTTCTGTGCTACAAGTAAAAGCATACAGATAATTTTAATATAAAGTACCCACCTCAGTCCATTGGAATTTGAGTCTAGGATTCTAGTAGAAATGCGAAAGAATGAAAGGAAATGTCCAGGATCGAAGGGATGTTTTTTTAGAAGGCACTAGTCTTGCCTCCAAGGGTACCAGTGATGGTTACACTGACAGGAATGAAACTCTTCTGCCTCCTGCTTATGAATTACAACCTCCTTGCAAGAGCCCTGTCTTGGAACTTCAAAGAAGCTCTTGTGGCAAGCTGAGATGTACTATTCACTGTATTCTCTGATGGCTCAGCGTCATTCAAGTTTAAACACAAATATGTTGGAGGCACGAGCCTCCAAGTGTTTCTCTTCAGCAGCCTCTTGACTCCTGCTGTCCTCCCTCTTCCCACAGGATGTCCTCTAGGGTTTTATGGAAAAGACTGTGCACTGATATGCCAATGTCAAAACGGAGCTGACTGCGACCACATCTCCGGGCAGTGTACTTGCCGCACTGGATTTATGGGACGGCACTGTGAGCAGAGTAAGTATGAGAGTGTGGCATCACTGGGTGGTATGTTTTTTCCCTCTAGGATCACATTTCCTAGATGCCGGGAAATATTAAGGCAGAATTCACCACTCTTAGGTTGTTTGAGCTGATGGCTGGTTACTTCTCAGCATGACTGACTTCCCCTCCCAGAGGTCAGGCCTCCTTGGGATCATTGCTGGTTACTCAGTGCTCTGGGTGGAGGAGGTGCGACTACAAGAATGAAGACAGAATTCAAGTTTTCCATTCTGTTCTTTCGGGCTCTCCCTTCCTCTCTTTCTTATTTTTGGAATGTGGCTGCTCAGAGCTTTAAAAGAGCCAGTCGAGCTTTCTTCATGGCAGAGGCGGGACCCGGGTCTCACATTGGAGGACAGTACATTCGATGGGGAGGACGGCTGGTGGCCCAGGGCCAACCCCTGTTGCTGGTGAGGCAACAAATCCATGCAAACATTGCCACCCTTTCAACAACCTTCTCTAGATAGTACTTTTATACTGTTCCCATTAACAACTTCTCATCTTAGTCTTAACAACCTTCAAGACAACATACTGCCTTAAAAATTTTTTTAAGTCCCACTAGGGGGAATATGCTGTTGGAATTACTCCTCCTTATTTTTTATTTCCATCCCACTATCTATGCATCCACTCACGGAGTTATAAGAACATTAGTCTTGGCCGGGCGCAGTGGTTCACGCCTGTAATCCCAGCACTTAGGGAGGCCGAGACGGGTGGACCACGAGGTCAAGAGTTCGAGAAGAGCCTGGCCAACATAGTGAAACCCCGTCTCTACTAAAAATACAAAAAACTAGCTGGACATGGTGGCAGTCACCTGCAATCCTAGCTACTCAGGAGGCTGAGACAGGAGAATCACTTGAACACGGGAGGCGGAGGTTGCAGCGAGCTGAGATCACACCACTGCATAGCAGCCGGGGCGACAGTGTGAGACTCCGTCTCAAAAAAAAAAAAAAAAAAATTAGTCTTAAGAAAATTGAATATTGCAAATTAGTTTATTATTCCTTTCCTCTATGACTTTCATTCAGTATTCACAATAAATAAGGGCTTAGAGCTGTATCGGACCCACTTTCTTATGATAAAACCTTTTAGGCAGGAAAAGGTGAAGAACAATTCCTGTTTAGCAGAGGTTGTACTCTTGGGAAGGATCTGCCAAGATTATGGCCATAGGAGCAGTGTGGCCTGGAAAGGTTGATCAGGATAGCAGGACTCTGGAAATAAAGCATCCCTCCCCACTCCACTCCACTGGCGCCTCACAGAGCCACTTTGAACCTGGTTGCCTCAATCTTATGTGCTAAACCCTAGGGTATTTTTGCATATCCTCTTTCTAGCAAATATACAAAAGTGACATCCAGGAATCAGCTCAAGACAGAGGCAGCCCAATTTTAGTTTTGCATCACTGTTTCATTGAGTCATGAAACGGATCCTGACTGAGTGACACAGTTGCATGCACACCTCTTTTGTGCATATAAATATTGTATGTCTGTGTATAAATGTCTAAACATATTCATGGAAACCAGAATAGGCTCAAAATTTTACTTGAATGCCAGATGACTGGTTAAGGTCTTATTAAATAAGAAAACCTCTTAAGTGCTTCCGTGATTACTCTCAACAGCAAATTAAAGTGTCCCTATTTTTGGAGACTTCTCCCAATGCTTATTTGTAAACAGAAACCCTGTGTTTGACAGAGAATTCTAATAATACTAGCACATTGCCCCCTGCTGTTAACTTTATGAAAAACAACAATATTTTGTCACGAAGATTTTTAGATTTAACATGCTTACACTATCCTTTGAAATTCATGCCTAACTCTTATTACGACCACATTGTAAGAATCCCATTATTTTTGTCTTCGAGACTTCAACAAAATCCAGAGTTTGAACCACTCCATAGCAAATGAAGTTCTTACCTAGAAAATCAACAAAACTTGTTGTCTGCCTCTTCTCCTATTCCTGGCTAATTCAATTGAGAATGTGTGTTTATGAAGATCCCTGAGCCTACAGTAAAATATATGTGTTCTCAAGAAAGCATCTTTAGTTTATGCTCTTCAGTCTAGGCCCCTTTCAGCCCACAGTTTTGCCTGGTAGACTTGTCTCAAATTGCCCTTAGTGATTATCTTCATCTGTTCCATGGGAATTCCACAGACTCTCCATACACGCATCATAGAGGTGGGTATGTAGCAGCTGAAAGTGTCAGGAGCTCTAATGTTGAGCAGCCCTGGCTCTAGCCGTGTGCAGTCTGGACTGTGAGTGCCACCATGATTCCGGGAATGCTGTCCAGTTCTGGGACACTCTTGGGGGTACAAGTCAGCCTCAATAGGAATCCCCTGAAAGGATTTTGCTCTAGATGTGCAGGGCTTGCAGTCAGAGACAGCCTTGCTCCAAATTCCCAAGGCTGGAAAGCTACATTTGACTTTCCTTCTCTAGAGTGCCCTGCAGGAACATATGGTTATGGCTGTCGCCAGATATGTGACTGTCTGAACAACTCCACCTGCGACCACATCACCGGAACCTGTTACTGCAGCCCCGGATGGAAGGGAGCGAGATGTGATCAAGGTAAAGATACTAACAAATGTTTGTAGTACTGTGTGAGCAGCATGTACCTGTCTATGCGAAGTATTTTCACTTGTGTTATCCAGCATAATCTTCACCACAACTCTAAATGGCATAATTGGTTACTTATTTAATTTCCAGATGAATGCCTTATTGTTGCTCTCCTGCGGATAAGGAAACAAAAGCTTAGAGAGGCCGAGTAATTTTCCCAAGGTCACATAGCTAATATCTAGAATATGTCATAGCTTTTGTGCCAGATTTTTGTTATTCCAAAACTCGTGAACTTCCTACTGGGTCTATAATTTCTTTTCAGCTTTATTGAGGTGTAATTGATACACACACACCAAAACCTATTTAATGTGTACAATTTAATAAAATTTGGACTATCTATATACCTGTGAAACCGTCACCATAATAAATGAAATATCCATCACCATGTGTTTCCTCATGCGCCTCCCTACTTCTACCACCCCTTATGCCCCAGGTAATCACTCATGTCTTTTCTGTCAGTATAGATTAGTTTTCATTTTCTAGAATTTTATATAAATGAAATCATATTGTACTTTTTTGGGTCTGGCTTTGTTTACTCAGCATAATTATTTTGAAATGGAACCATGTTGTAGCACATATCAACAGTTCAGTTCTTTTCATTGCTGAATAGTGTTCCATTGTATGGATATACTATAATTTATTTCCCTATTCATGTGCTGATGGACACGTGGATTGCTTCCAGTTTGGGGCTATTACCGATAAAGCCGCTATGAACAAGAGTGAATCAAGTTTTTGCACGGACGTGTGCTTTCATTTCTCTTGGGTAAATACCTAGGAGTAGAATAACTGGGTTATATGGTAGGCATATGTTTAACTTTTTGTAAAACTTGTGCCCCTGGTTTTTAATTGAGGAGTGTGTCATAACAACCTGGGAATAGTTGTCATGTACACAGTCCCATTTGGGAAATTCTGATTCTGGGGTTGGGGACTTTGAGAAAGTGCTTCTGATGGTTCTGAAGCGTGCCCTGCAGACAGCCACAGCTCTTACTACCTGTGGTACTCCCTGGTAGGCAATAAGCAGATGGGCTATAAAAGCCTTTAGAAAATTGATACACTGTTGTAGATAGTGTCATCTTAAACTGCGGACCATGTAAATATTTACAACATTTAATTTTTTTGGTAAAATAACTTTTACATGCTTATGATTTACATTTGACTGTCATAACAATAGAATGCAATCTTTCATGATCACATCATAATTACAAATACGCTGTAATCTCACTACATTGTCCTTGGTGGTCTGTGTTTCAGGTCATATTGTTTTGTAAGAAGGTCCTCCAGCATTTAGAATCATAAAATCATAGGAACGTTTATGTGAGCTGGAAACAGTGACATGGAGGCCTCTTTTCTCATTTATAGATGATAAAACTGCAGCCTGAAAGCTTAAGGGAAAGTTCAGAATATCTAGGTCAATTTTTTTAGTTGCCAGATTTCTTGACTCTCAACCCATGCCTTTAGCGTCCTCACTTGATGGACCATAAGGAAGAACTATGTAATGCCGAATTTTGAATTTAATGAGTAAGGTATTAGGATAATGCTATCAGGTATTATCAGGACAAATCTTTCTGTCATGGAAAATAACTTTCAACAGAACGATATCTTCTGAGGTAAAAGACCCATTGTAATTAGCAAAAGGCAGATCCTGTTCTTAGACTAGATTTATAATGGTGTTATGCTTGCTTAGAAGGAAGATTACTCTTAGAAATGCTAAGGATGGACAGAAAATTTGGTTAAGCAGTTGGGACATTTAGCATTTAACTCTGCATAAACTTTATTTATTATTGAATAATGAAGCAAAATAAAAATTAGATAAATTGTTACCCCAAATTAATTGCCAGTCTAAGTATTTAATCGGAAATATATAAGAAGCTCTCAAACCCTACTGTTGAATCTCTTTGGGTTTAGAAAATCCTGTTTGTTTCTTTACATTTTTTTAGAGACAGGGTCTTGCTCTGTTGGCCAGGCTGGTCTCTAACTGCTAGGCTAGATCAGTTTTCCCACCTCAGCCTCCTGAGTAGCTGGAACTCTGGGCACGCATCACTGTGCCCAGCTTCTGTCTCTTTTTGAGGCTTACAGCAGCCTTTCTCTGGGCATGGATAGGCTGACAACATCTGACAATGAGGAATGTTTGCTTTTTCTTCCTGCTCTGTTTCCAAATTAATGTTTTATGAACTGAAAATATGGAGGCATTAGCACAGAAGGAGGTTTTTGTAAGTGGAGATCAAACATTTATCCAGCACATTGTCATCCCTTCTCAAGTCTCTCTTTTCTTTTTCTAGCTGGTGTTATCATAGTTGGAAATCTGAATAGCTTAAGCCGAACCAGTACTGCTCTCCCTGCTGATTCCTACCAGATCGGGGCCATTGCGGGCATCATCATTCTTGTCCTAGTTGTTCTCTTCCTACTGGCATTGTTCATTATTTATAGACACAAGCAGAAGGGAAAGGAATCAAGCATGCCAGCAGTTACCTACACCCCTGCTATGAGGGTCATCAATGCAGATTATACCATTTCAGGTAAGAGCAGAGGCAGGAGAGGCATTTTGCTTCTTGAAAAGTTAAATTTCACCCTGTTTCCTTAAAACTGGGTGTTTGGCTGTGCAGTCCATTGTTTCTGTCAATTCTCATTGAGATAATTCTGTGGAAAAGGTATACATTGCTAGAGATGAGTTTTTTATTTCAACAATAGTAAATTGTCATTCTGTGGTTTGCCATGAGGGTTTTAAAATTGAGCTCATTGTGGTGTTTGTGCTTTAGATTTACGGAATTTCAATCCATAAGGAGCTTTGTATCCAGCCTCAAGCTTTTGTCATATGTGAGGGGGGTGGGGAGGAAGAGAGGATGATGAATTTACCAAGGTCATGGATCAGATTATGGAGCTGGACCAGTTTTCCTGTCTCTGAATGGGGTACTTTCTATATGCTTCCCAGCCTCTCCTTAGGCCTACCCGAATCATTAACCGGAGGGAACCAAGTTATATGAGAAACAGCTTTTTGGTATTAGCAAGAACCAAGGCAGCCCTTTAAGAAAATTCTTGATGTTTTCTGTTCTGTCACAATGCCTCATAAAAGAAAAAAAAATTATAATCAATCATCAGTGGAAGCAACCACTTACATGGAGGAATTTAAAAGCTTAAAATCTTTATTACTTTTTGGGTGATCATTGAAGGCTTTCTGGTTGGTTACATGTTTAAAACTACAAAATTCTGTGGAAATATGAGAAGTAGCTGATTTACATAGTAGTGCATTTTCAGTGCAGAATTATTGTGTCAAGAACTCAAGTGTTTAAAAAAAGGAAAGTTGCAGAGTAGCTTCAAATGATGCCTTCCCAGCTCTACAAGCCCCAAAGCAAAGAGCAGTTGTTGGTGGATACTGTGAACAAAAGTTCTCTGAAAAGGAATTTGGAGGAAAGAGATTTTATTCCAGTGAACAGTCTGCGAACCCAGGAGTTGCAGCCAGTGTAAAATGAAGGTGCAGTTCAGAGAACAAAGGGAAAGCTTGGGTTTTATAGCAAAAGTCCCCACCCAGCTTCCAATCAGGCCCTTTTATGCAAGTGAAGGATTGAAACTGGTTTAATTCTAATTGGTCAGTGTAACTGAGTTCTGGTTGGTTGATACAGCTGAACCCTGATCGTTTGATAAAGCTGAGCCCTGATTAGCAAGGCAGGTAAGCTCTGATTGGTTGGTTCAGCTGAGCTCTGAAAGACCCAAAGATAAAGGGCTGGGTTTTCCGGGAACTCAGAATACAGGTGTGACACTTAGTCAGCAAAGGCGTGCTTGACTGTATTTTAAATTTAGGACTAGTTAGCCACTCCTATGGATCTTAAAGGATTGTTTTTTTCAGTTTCACATTTGTTCACAAGCTTTCATACTTTTCCAAGGAGGCACTTAGGAAGGCAGAGGCCTGTTGCTTCTAGAAGCTTTGCCGAGTAGGCTGGGCAGGAGGAGATTCTGCCCAACTTGTGATATGGAAGCAGTCTAGACATTTGTTCTGTTATTTATTTATTTATTTATTTATTTGGAGATGAGTCTTGGTCTGTCGCCAGGCTGGAGTGCAGTGGTGCGATCTCAGCTCACTGTAACCTCCGCCTCCAGGGTTCAAGCGATTCTCTTGCCTCAGCCTCCCAAGTAGCTGGGACTTCAGGCGCCCGCCACCATGCCCGGCTAATTTGTTTTCGTTTTTTTAGTAGAGATGGGGTTTCACTGTGTTAGCCAGGATGGTCTCGGTCTCTTGACCTCGTCATCTGTCCGCCTTGGCCTCCCAAAGTGCTGGGATTACAGGCGTGAGCCACCGCGCCCGGCCTGTTCTGTTATTTTGATTCCCTTTTTTCACACACATTTATGGGAGCCTGCTGCCTTAACAGTTTCCTTCCTTCTTGCAGGAACCCTTCCTCACAGCAATGGTGGAAACGCTAATAGCCACTACTTTACCAATCCCAGCTACCACACGCTCACCCAGTGTGCCACATCCCCTCACGTCAACAACAGGGATAGGATGACCGTCACGAAGGTGAGAGGAATTGGCTCCAGTCTTTGAAAGTGGGCCGGGGAGAGAGGAAGGGAACCAGAATGTATTGAGGGTCACTGTTTACCAGAGGCTGTTCTAGGTACTTTACATGCATTATCTAATTTATTCCTCTAAACAGTCCTCTGGGTGTGCCTTGGGAATCTCAAGTTTCCTGATGAAAACCTGAGTAGCGGGGAGTTTAAGTTACTTGCAGACGTAGCTGCCCAATAATGAGTGTGGCAGCTGCTGTGTGAGTCAAAGTCTCTCTGTCTCTACAATCTACTGTTTCCATTACACTGCTTTAGAAAAATGTTTCTAATTTTACATGAGATTTTAAAATAATAACTCATAATGACATTAACAAAAACATAAAGACCTATAGCAGCATCAGCCGTGGGCAAAATCTCCAAGTGCATCTCTTCTGACTGCCCGTTCTCTGGTACCCTTTCCTGGCCAACTGCGCTTTAGTAACAACAGCAGTAATATGCACTGATTTGGGTTGAACCACATGAAATTGCTATTTTTGTAAGTCAACAATGGTCACATAGCAACAACCTAATATTATGTGCCAAACATTTCTAATCACTTAAAAAATATAAACTCATTTAATCTTCACACCAAACCTATAAATCGAGCGATTATTATGCCGATTTTACAGATGAGGAAAGTGAGTCACAGAGAGGTTGGAAACAGAGCTTTCTGGAACCCAGAGCTGTTCCTCTAATAGCACCCAAGTCATCCCTGGGTCTTCCCCACAATGCTCTGAAATCTCAAACATTTCTTTCTTCCAATCATACCCAAATTATATTTCTAATCTCCGTTGTCTAATTCCAGTGCTCTGTTAGAGAAAAAAAATCAAGTTAATTAAATTAATCCAGTTGTAATTTAATTATTGCAGCTATAGATTTTAATTATAGTGCCTCATGGTTAAATACTACTCCACATTCTCCAGAGACTTTCACATTCATCAATTTATTTGTTCTCATACAAATTCAGGGAAGGGGGCAAAGCAGATAATCTTATCCTCATGTTTATGCCTAGGATAACTGCTAAGAGTCACCTGTGACTCACACAAACACAATTTTTGATGGGAGGGCTTAGACCAAGAATTCTTTTTTTTTTTTTTCAATTCAAAGTTACATGTGTATAAATACAGATAAGGTCTAATTGGCACAGGATGACAGAGTGAAATGAAGATCTTGAGGTGGTGGAGGGAATAGCTGAGACTGAAGGACATGAACTCCTGCCGGCTTCCAAGTCCCACCAGGTTACAAGCAGTCACCTCGGCCCCTGAGCTTAGCCCCCTCTAAGGACCGGTCCTCAATATGTACCCTGGACTTTTCCCCAGGTCCATAATGCTGTGCTGTGCCACATTGTATTTTGTTTTTAATCTTTCATTGTTTATATTTTTAACAGTCAAAAAACAATCAACTGTTTGTGAATCTTAAAAATGTGAACCCTGGGAAGAGAGGCCCTGTGGGGGACTGCACTGGGACATTGCCAGCTGACTGGAAACATGGTGGCTACCTCAACGAGCTTGGTGAGTTCTCCCAGTGCACGTCCCCAGCACACCTTGACCTATGAGTCCCTGAAACAGTCATAAATCTCTGTCTGTGCCAAGGTGTTCTACTGAAAACTTGTATCAAAAAGCACATTTACAGAATTATGCCTAACACCTGTACAGGGCTAACTACTGTCCTAAGGGCTTTATCTATTCAACAAACATTTATTGAGTTCCTACTGTGTTCCAGGAATTGATCAAAAGAAATTGGGGACCGGGCCTGGTGCCTCATGCCTGTAATCCCAGCACTTTGGGAGGCCGAGATGGGCGGATCACGAGGTCAGGAGATTGAGACCATCCTGGCTAACACAGTGAAACCCCGTCTCTACTAAAAATACAAAAAATTAGCCGGGCGTGGTGACAGACGCCTGTAGTCCCAGCTACTCGGGAGGCTGAGGCGGGAGAATGGTGTGAACCCAGGAGGCGGAGCTTGCAGTGAGCTGAGATCACGCCACTGCACGCCAGCCTGGGAGACAGAGCGAGATTCTGTCTCAAAAAAAATAAAAAAGAAAGAAATTGGGATCTCTACCTGCTCATAGCTTACATTCTAGCTCTATGCCTATTAACTTAATTCTCACAAGTACTCTAATAGGTAGGTACTATTGTTATCACCATCTCCATGTTACAGTTGAGAAACTGAGTCATAATGAATTACTTGCACAGTGCCTCATCGCCTATTAAATGTCAGAGCTAGTATTGCATCCTGTCAGCTTGGCTCCCAGATGTGCGTTCCTCTTTGTTCTCCTTTGATATAGGGTATCCGTACTTGAGATCCCCTTCCCTTTCAGGTGAGGAAACAGAGATACCAATAGGAATACAGTGGTGGATCAATGATTCAACTTTTTGAAATCAGGACTCCTTTACACTCTTAAAATTTCTTGAGAACCCCAAAGAACTTCTGTTGATAGGGGCTATATCTATTTATATTTACCATATTAAATGAAATTTAATATGGTAATGAAATTTGATATGTAAATAAAAGTAAAAAAAAGAGTATTTAACTTATTTAAATTAACAATAATCATCACATTTCACGGTGACATAAATTTTGTTTTTATGAAAAATAACTACATTTTCCAAAACTACCCAAAATTAGTGAGAAGAGCAACACTGTTATACACCCTTTTTATAAAAACTCTCTTTAATGTCTGGCTTAATAGAAGATAGCTAGATTATCATGTCTGCTTTTGCATTCAGTTGGTTTTGATCTCATACTTTATGTAGCTTCTGAAAAACTCCACTGTATGCTTGAAAGAGAATTAGAGTGAAAATGGCAAATAATGTTGTATTGTTATGGAAATAGTTTTGCAGCTGGGCACAATGGCACAGGCCTATAGCCCCAGACTTGGGAGGCTGAGGCAGGAGGATTGCTTGAGCCCAGGAGTTTGAGTCTGATCTGGATGATATAGCAAGACCCCACCTCTTAAAATATATATGTGTATATATAGTTTTGATCTCGTAGGCCTCCTGAAAAGGGGGCAGGAATGCTTGGTCCACACTTAAAGAACTTCTGTGATACACCATTAATTATGTGGTGCAGTTTCCAAGCCTGTACCCCATATTTGCAGGGAGGAGTTTGATGATATAGTAACTTACAGGTGTGCAGTGTCTTATGGATAACAAATCCTTTCACGTACATTTATTTGGAGGTAGGTGCCAGAAATCCCAGTTAAATTTGAATTTCAGATAGATAAATAGTAAATATTTTTTGTATAAATATATCACAGGTATTACATGGGATGTACACTAAAGATTATTTGTTGTTTCTTTAAAATTTTAATATAGCTGATTTTTGTGTATTTTTATTTGTTAATGTTTTGTTTTGTTTTTGTTTTTGAGACAGAGTCTTGCTCTGTCGCCTAGGCTGTAGTGCAGTGGTGTGATCTCGGCTCACTGCAAGATCTGCCTTCTGGATTCAAGCGATTCTCCTGCCTTAGCCTCCCAACCAGCTGGGATTACAGATGTGCACCACCATGCCTGGCTAATTTTTGCATTTTCAGTAAATACTGGGTTTCTCCATGTTGGCCAGGCTGTTCTCAAACTCCTGACCTCAAGTGATCCGCTTGCCTCGGCCTTCCAAAGTGCTGGGATTACAGGCATGAGCTACCGCACTTGGCCTATTTGCTAAATTGGACAATCCTCCTGGGTGGACCCTGTCCCGTGAATCTTGTATAATAGAGGAATAAACTGAGAGGCACAGAGAGGTTAAACCTCTTGTCTGAAATTTCAAAGGAGGAAAGGGGTAAAGCCAGATTTCCAAGTTGGTCTTCTAACTGCTCCCCTTAAACACTGCTTCTTCTGTAAGCAGTGTCAGGTTTTCTGAGCCAGTCATAGGAATTGATCCCTCCGGGAATGCCTGTTTCTATGGAAATAAAAATGTTTAAGTGGTGAATACAAATTCTTAGTCGTTTCCATAGTGTCGTGGTTATCACGCTTGCTGTACAAATTCCTAACTTTTATCTGCATTCTATACCATTTTTATCAATAGAATGTGTATTTCCAACCACAGTAAAATTATTTACATACAAGACTCACAATATGCTTATTGGTAACATCATCTAACATTAAAGGAGACTTTTTAGGAGTCTTAATTACATTTATAATTTAGCTCAAAGGAATATATGAATTGATATTCAGCAAAATACCAACCAGCACTACTGAAAGAAAAGTCCTCTTGTTCTATCTTAGACCACTTTGAAAACTCCAGAAGATACAACGTCACTGCATTGGTCATATGTAAACGTCTCTGCTTTCTGGCTCAATGAGACCCAAGGGACTGAGTGTTAGGAACATAGAATCTTCATTGGAAACTCTAGGTCGTCTTGGTTTGTTCTCACTCGGGAATAATTCTGCATTTAACATCCCTTTAAAGTTGTTGCACAGAAAAAGTTCTTCACGAAGGACAGAGTCAGGCATGTTGTGGGTGACAAAGTATACAGATGCTTTAAATGATGGAATAGTTGTCATCATGGTATCTGAAAGAGCCTTGAATTACACACAAAAGGCCCTGAGATATGGCACTGGGCCAATCACTTACCCTCTCAGAGTTGATTTGTTCATTTGTAAAATGGGAGTAATAACCGTGTACTGGATCATTGTGTGAATTAAATTAAACCAAGCATTTGAAAGCCCTGCCCCAGGGATTGGTATATACAGGAGTTTATAGGGAATCCTGACTGCTCCTTCAATAAAACAGCTCCCTGATCCTCCAAGGCAATGAAGAGAGAATCTGGCAGGGGTGTCTGGCCTCACAGCCCCAGCTCTTATTCCCTAACTTACTATCTGCTCCATGCTGGTTCTGTCTTTCACATCTTGGTGGAAGGCTAGCCACTGCACAGCTAAGATTAAAACATTTAACAAGACTTTGCTACAGTCTGGAGATGACCAAGAGTATTTGGCAAAGAGGAGTGTAGACAGAGCTCCTTGATAAAGCTATTCTCAGGGGCCACAGACTGTGCCCCATCTTCATGGGTCCTCTTTATAAAGTCTGGGAATTCCCAAGACCACCCTGACTTCTGACATCAGCTCCAAGTTCGAGGATCACCAAGACCACCCTCAGGATCAACATTTTGCTACAAGGACTCACTGAACTCATTGAATGGGCATTCTCATGGTTACAGTTTAGGGGAGGACTCAGTCATATGGACATGATTGACTCCCAGCATGTAGACATAATTGACCTTTAGCCTTTCTCCTTCCAGAGGTGGAGGCGATACCATATGGCCCAAAACCTCCATCATAAATCACTTGGTTACACTATCCAGTGTAGCCCTGGGCCTCCAGGTGAACAAAAGCACTCCTATTGGGCAGGACAGTCCAAGGACTTCAAGGTCACCTCCCAGGAGCTGAGGGCAAAGGCCACCCCTTTCTTTGATAAGGTTAATTCTTCACTACACACCCATTTATGCTGCCTCCCTGCGTAACCCTGTGCCTTTCCCTCCAGCTGTAGGCTTGGTTAGACTCTTCACATCCCAGATGCAAGAGTGTGTGCCTGAGAGAGGAAAATATTCCTGTTTCCTGTCCCACAATGATGGATATCTGACAGACCCTCTCCCTTTAGGAAAGGCTGCTTCCTCCTCCACAACAGTGTGTGCTTACTCAGTGATCCCCATAGGACACCAACATCACAACTTGAGCTTCACATCACTCTAAGAGATGCATGCACAGTGGCAAGGGTATCATTTCCTTAACATTCTCAAATACTTCCCTGGAATGTTCATTGCTAGTCGTTACTTTACTCTCTACTTTTAACCTAAGTCTGTAACATTCATATTGTATTGTATTGTATTGTATTGTATTGTATTGTATTGTATTGTATTGTATTGTATTGTATTTCAAAAGATTAGTGACGAGGTTTTGCCGTATTGCCCAGGCTGGTCTCAAACTCCTGAGCTCAAGGAATCCACCCACCTTGGCCTCCCAAAGTCCTGGGATTACAGGCATGAGCCACCACACCTGGCCTGTAATAGTCTTTTAAAAGACAATTGAAAAAGTCTTGGAGTGCTTAAGCAAAGACTGAAGCAGAGCCTAGTATAATGCACTGAGTGTTAGAGTAATTGACACACTTTGTTTGTATGCTGCTTCAGAGTTTACAAAGCGTTTCCATATGCTCTGTTTCACTTAATCATGACAAAAACCCTGGAAGGCAGGAAGGCAAATTTTGTTTTCCCCATTTTAGAGATGAGAAAATTGACACTCAGAGAGTGGAACATCTTGCCCAAAATCGTATGGCCAATAAGTGATGATATGTAATTCCTTTGTCTCCTATTCTATAGTTTTTTCCTCTTTGTCACAGCTCCAGTAGAATACTTGATTCCCATGCAGTATTAACAATGCAATTTTGCATGTATATGCCAGATAGTATAAAATGGGCTAGGTTATGTCCTCTTATTTTGTTTTTAATAGTGTGAATTTGTGATTAAATGCTTGTATTTTATACAACATGCTTATGACCTGATTGATTTCTGTAGGAGGTTGCACGTTCTGTCTTGCCTACGTGCTCAATTTTTTCCAGCATGAGCAGGAACGCTCCTATTTCCCTCCCCACACCCACGAAATAAAGGCTGGCCATTTTCCAACGAGAAAGTGGTTTTTTTGTATGTATCTAGGCTCATACACAATTATGTCCCCATACCTGGAAAAGTCAGATTGTTAAAATAAAAGCTGAATAAAGAAGGACAAGAGCTAATATCACCTGTAAAGTGTTAGTCAACAGTGTTTGAAGCTTCCAGTCTCCAGAAAACATGCTTGTAGTGAAGACAATGATATAACCAAACCGAATAATGATTATTGGGAAAATGATTTGAAAACCATCAGAGCCTTGAAAGAGCTGCACATAGGTGTGAAATGTCACCTCTGGTCTTGGCTGTGTCTTTTCACTGTGCAACCTTGAATCAGTATACTGATTTATCTCTGGGCCTCAGTTTCTATCCTGTTTTGACTAGCTTTTCCTGAATCACTGTAAATGACTGGGTGAATGACCAAAGGTGTGTGTGTTTAATTCTAAGCACTGGGGACATCTGGGACAACTGATCCAGTGTAAAGATTTGAAAAGCAACGGCCTGGTTGTTTGCTGCAGTGGGAGATCCTCTTCCAGGACCTTGGAATATTGGATGGGGTTTTTCTTCCTTTAAATTCTCACTGGATGTTTTATTCTTCCTTTATTACAGGTGCTTTTGGACTTGACAGAAGCTACATGGGAAAATCCTTAAAAGGTATGGTGTAAATTTGAAGAAGAAATCAGAAGCACAATTAAATTTTTTTAACCTCAAAGACTGAAATATTTTTTAAACAAGCTAGAGTGACAAGAGAAAATGTAGAATTTTTAGTGTGGTCAGTTACTACAGCAAACACACAAACGTGTGACTGACATCAAGAAACTGACCAGAGGTGGACCTTGGTAGAGCTTAAGTCTTTGGGGAACAAAAGATTCAGTTTGCTGAGGAAACACTCATATGAAAGAAATATGGCTTATGGGGAGACAGAAACGTATAAGGGGAAATAGCAGAGACAGTAAGAAAAGATCCGCATGGTTACATGTTGACCAAGGTCTGCTTTTTAGGATGGGTGTGAGTGATTAGGTGCCCAGTACAGAGTTTTACCAGGAGTCCTCCCAGCACAAATGCCTTCTTGTCATGATAACCGAGCGCTCTTGGTGCCCCTGGGGCCATCAACAGCTGGTTTCTTGATTGAACTTCAGTAAATTTTCTATTAATAAAATAGAATGTAATTTATTATATTTGAATGTGATCATAAAAATGAAATCAGATAATGATATTGATGTTATTGATGTCAGTACTCATCTTGGAGAGGAACTAAAGCTGCTTTACGAATGGGTCATTTTATAGCAAGTTCTCTCCGAAACAGGTGGAAAAGGTGTAGTGTTATTTTCAGTGTGTAGAATTATGGAAACCTAGCTACAAAGAAAAAAAGTAAATTATTACCAAGAAATGATGTTGCCAGTGACACAGCATTAGCTTTCTCTTCCCATTTCTCTTCGCAGACCTGGGAAAGAATTCTGAATATAATTCAAGTAACTGCTCCCTAAGCAGTTCTGAGAACCCATATGCCACTATTAAAGACCCACCTGTACTTATCCCTAAAAGCTCAGAGTGTGGTTATGTGGAGATGAAATCGCCGGCACGAAGAGATTCCCCATATGCAGAGATCAACAACTCAACTTCAGCCAACAAGAATGTCTATGAAGTTGGTAAGATCTCTTAACCATAGAAAGAACTGAGTGCATAAGTTTTTAAAAACAATTTTAAATTCTTTATGAATTTAATAGTTGCAGGTCATAGAAATCTTTTTGAAAATAATGGTCCGTATTTTATTTTATTTTGTACTTTTTTGAGATGGGGTCTCTTTCTGTCACCCAGGTGGTGTGCAGTGGCACAATCTTGGCCCACTGCAACCTCCACCTACCGGGCTCAAGCCAACCTCCCACTTCAGCCTCCCAAGTAGCTGGGACCACAGGCAAGCACCACCACGCCCAGCTAATTTTTTGTATTTTGGGTGGAGACGGGGTTTTGTCACCATATTTTATTAATAGATGCGACCTGTATTTTTAGTGATCATATTAATTGGTGCCAAAGGAATTTTCCAGGGACAATATCATTTAGAAAAATTTAAGGTAAATTTTCTTTATTTTTCACCTAATCATCCATCTTTTGTTTTGCAACCATAGTGAATATTTTGGCACACATGTGGATAGCATATGTATCCTATTAGCTAATATATCTAGTTAGCCAAAACAAATGATTCAAGTGGATTAAACAGGTGATTCCATTTCCTGGTTCATTATATTATTATAATGCATTTAGCAAGATTGAAACATTTTACTTTTAAACTTGTCCAATATAGTTGTAATATTTTCCGATGTGAATGTGATGCAAATTAATATGAATTCAATTTAAAATTGAGATTATTTTGATTGTCTTTTGCAAATACCACTTGGGAAATGATAAAACATACCACCACTACTGTTGGCTAAACAATAGGGCTATCTATTTTCATTTTTTTCTCTCTATTTCTATATCTCTGTGAGTATTTGTGATTTTAACTTTAAAATATTCTCTACTACTTGTAAATGAAGTGGCTACTTTACTACTAGTATTTTATTTTATGCCAGGTATGTCCCCAAGAAAAAATACACAAAATAATTTCTTTTTAAAGCATTAAGACAGCTTTTTAAAGTGGAAGTCAAAGTGAACTAAATTTATTTTTGGAAAGTCAGTAGCAATTCTCCTTTAAACTGTCCCACAAACCTGCCACAGTAGGATGGGAACTCAACTGAGAGCCTGAGTCTTGAGTCCCAAAGTTGTGAACTTGTTGAGTGTTTTCATGAACCGAATTAACTTTTGAGAACCTCAGTCTTCTCACCTGTGGAATAAGGGGCTTGGCCTACATTATCCCCAAGGGGTTTTTCAGACCATGATTCATATCCAGGATTCTGTATATTCCCTTAATGTCTTCATCCTGATTATGTGTTCATCCTTTTGTTCTGAACACCATTTGTGTTTGCCAGTTGATCCAACTATACAGAGTTGCCACCTGTATGTGATGATTTTTAATATCATGTTTTTAAAACCAGTATTTCCTTACATTTTTTTAAAAGTCCCATTGGTATATTTGAAATTCACAAGAAATGCCATATTCTTTTTAAAAATGTTTCCATTGCTGATAAATTAATGTGTCCTTGGTTATCACAGAACCTACAGTGAGTGTTGTCCAAGGAGTATTCAGCAATAATGGGCATCTCACCCAGGATCCATATGACCTCCCAAAGAACAGTCACATCCCTTGTCATTATGACCTGCTGCCAGTCCGAGACAGTTCATCTTCCCCCAAGCAAGAGGACAGTGGCGGTAGCAGCAACAGCAGCAGCAGCAGCAGTGAATGACACCAAAGGACTGCTGGGTAGCCACTGGAAACCTTTCCAGAACTGCTGTTTGGTTCTTCTCCATCCTCAATTTTGCCACTTTCATGTGAATGTTAATCAACTCGGTAGGCAATTGTTGGACATGAACCAGAAAGCTGAAAGCTGAGGCTGCAATTGTTGGATATGAACTGGAAAGCTCAAAGCTGAGGCTGACACTGACTATAGGTGCTTTTTGTTCAGGTGGATTTGAAGGAGTTAGAGATGTGATTTGCCATTGCTGTTAGTTTTTGAACTATAACCGTGAAGCATGACTTATTGTAAGATGTTTGCTGAAAGCATGAACTTGCAGAACTCCCTCGGAGACGCAGGTTGCAGTGGACATTGGCGTTGTTGCTTGAACAATTAAACTTTGAATATTTTCTTTCTCATTTGCATTATACAGCTGTACCTAGGATTGTACAGTTTACCATCAAATTTACTTCATGAAAGTGGGAATCACTGAACATGTAGAAGAAAAGGTACATATTGTTAAGTCCTTATTCTTAACTTTATTCAACCGGACTCAGAATTGTAGGGATCATATGAATGCAGGAGGAAACATTCTGTCAGGTGGTATAACTGGATAGACTTTGAATATACTCTAAAAGTGGACAGAAAATTTAAATATGAAAATCTTAGGTTTTGTTTAGAATGAGAAAACATACAATTAGAATTATTTTAGAAATAGTAGGAAGTATTGCAGAAGTCAATACACAAATATGCCAGGCAGAGGTGGTTTTCTCTCTGACCCTCAACCAGCTTCAGATCTATGACATTATTCTGATCACTGGTTCCATCATACATATTCACCACTTGAGATTCATAACATATCAATAGTTATTTCATAAATATAGAAATGAAATAATTTTATTTTTGACAAACTGGATGGAATGAGTGTGTAATGATTGATAAAGGTTGTAAATTTTAAGTGCAAGATGATGCCTACGTTTTGTAAACCATTAGTAATACGTGCTGTAATATAGAATTAGCGGAACATTTTGGTTAATCTTTCCCTAGAAGTGACTGAAATATTTTTGTGCATATTTGAGAAAGGGCACTTTCCTTTTATTAATTGTCAATTTAGAGAAACTATGCTTAAGCTGGTCTTTTGCATTGCTAATGTGACATGTACCCCACTTTTCATTAATTTGTATTTCCATTTTTAAGTTGCATATTCTATGTTTTGTAGTGTTTGGATTGTTAATGAAAAATTATTATATTATATGTTCATTGTTCCTTGTATTATTGCCGCTTATCTTTTGCTTGATAAAAATGCATTGTTCTTTTTTCTTTTGGAGGCACAAGATGAAAATATATAATTTGAATTGATTAAAATTGGCCATTACTAAAATAGGTAACCACAGGTGATTGGCTTATGATTGAAAGAGAGATGCTTTTCAATATTCCAAAATAGAGTTCCTTTGGATCTGTTGGTTCTGAGCCTTGGTTAAACCAGGGAGAAGGGGAGCAGAAAGGAAACGTTACTGCATGAGTACCACAGACTCATCTTACAAAAAACTCTCATTATGGTGATCATAGAATTGACCATCCAAACTGGGACACTCTTGAGAGTAAATGGAGGGCATTGTTAGTAATTATCTTGTAATGAGCTTAAATCTGGACTGTTCCAGGCAAACCAGACTTATCTTGCAATATGAGAATGCTGACATGATGCAAGAAAGCCAGTTTCCCTTCCATTGATCTGTTTGACCAAGCAAAGGGGCTGAAAAACTGAATAAGGAAGCAACTTTATAAGAGAAACAGTGGTCTTCAATCTTTTAAAGACATGAAATCCTACATGGCATTCTGTCTGTCTCAGTGAGTCAGTTAACAAATATGTATGTGCATCCCTTCTGCTAGTAGTGCACGTAAGTCATTGTCCCTGCTGGTTATGGAGTTGGAATATCCAGTTATTTCATGTCACACATCGGCACATATGATGGTAGTTTATCAGATGGATAATACAACAGACTCACTGCATTGATGGCTGCTCATTTTGAGGAACTCCAAAGTCAATTGAAGGAAATAAGGAGTGACCTGGAACACACCTTAGAAACAATTGATTTATTCCAATAGTTAGCCACTGGCTGGCTCCCAACTCTAGGTGATAGGCATCTAATTGAGACACATGTGAGTCAGGAGCCATCAGGGGTCCTTATTGGTAAGAAAAAATTGGACATTTTCCCCCTTTTAAAGATCATCTCTTCTGAGCTCCATGGTAAATTTGAATTTCCCCATTATTCCCTAGAGATAGGTCAAAAAAACAACTGTTTCTTTTCTCATTCCACTATTAATAAATTAAAAGCTTGCTGTACAAAGGCAGCAGCAACTTAAAATCTGGGCAATAGATGTGAACTCCAAAGGGCCACTGCTATCCCTTCCTGTGTGCTCTTTTTGACAAGTAAATCACTCCAGTTAGCTGATGTCCTGAAATGACGTTTGTGTTCTGAATTGAGGCAATTCTTATTAGAGCTTACTCAAGACTTTTCAAACATCAGGACACATGTAGCAATTTGGATGTTTTAAAACTATGTGTTACATTTGGAGAGGTCTGGTTGAGAAGGCAAAATGTTCTAAATATTTTGATACCAATTTGGGTAAAAGAAAACTTTTGTTAGAATGAGAATTAAAGAGAAAACAAAAGAACCTTGGCAAAATTTTTCCTCTGAAATTACAAACTTTTGGAACTTTTCCAGATGTATCGAATTTAATTTTACAGTGATGTCACTCTTCATACCAAGTGAGTCTATTCTCATGACCTTTGAACCCATGTTAATTTTGGACCCTATAACTAATTTCCTTTCTAAATCCCGTGGTGGTCAAAGCAGTAAAGGAGTTTAGAGATACTTAGCCAATGCCAGTCATATAGTATTGTTAGCCAAACTATTATTCCTTCCTTAGAAGTTGATGTATCAGAAAATTTATAAATTATTTGTGTTTATATATAAGTACATCAGAACTTGCCCAAATGATAACTCATGTTTGCTTTAATAAGGAGAATATGTTATTTGAGGTTAATTATATGATAATAAGGAACATTTTATAATTATTTACAGTGTTTGACATTAATCGCTGTCCTATGATATAGTAGTAATGTTAATAGAGATTTTAATATGTTTAGCATTATCTTTATGGAATTTATATTCACCAATTTCAGGAAAACCAGCCATAGAACTTTATAATAGGACAGTTGTAACCTGACTGAACCAAATCCATCAGCATAATGACTGTGTGTTGTGAGAAATGCAAAAACTTTATGAAAGTGTGGTCATCTTGACCCCCACAGAGCCACAGTAGCCGTCAATTATTGAGATTTTTAAATGGTAAATATTGCAAAAGTTAAACAAGGGTATCATGATATCATTTATAATAAATGTCAATATTGGTAGTCCACTTTATGCTTAAACAAAATCATACAAAATTAAGTTTTAAGGTTATATTTTTTAAAATAATGAATTTTCTATCTCTGGGCGACATGTCTTTATTATTCAAGCTGAATGTTTAAGAGAGATTTTGGTCTTCAAGGCTTCACGTCACGAAAGTGTACATGCATATGCAAGTGTGAATCACATGGTATGGATGGTTGCTTGTTTATTAACTAAAGATGTACAGCAAACTGCCCTTTTAGAGTCCTGTTAATATTGATGTCCTAACACTGGGTCTGCTAGTTCAGTATTTAGTCTAGGCTTCATTTTGATATGACTGAATTGCAATCTATATTTTTAAAAAGAAAAAATCAAAATGCATTAGGATTTACGTGGTTGTGGCAAACAAACAATGCTTTCGGTGTTGAAATATCTCTATTTTCCAAAGATGATAAACTTTCATCATTATTAGTCTACATTGTCATTTATATCACCAAATGAGTTTATAGATTAATGCAATAAACTTTCTAATAAAAAACTCTAGTGTTTCTTTCTATATCCGATTCTACTGTTGATTAATGAGAGAAAAAATCTTGTGTTCCTATGGAAAAAATAATATATTTTTTTCATATGTGGCCCCATAACACTTTACAGACACACTTAAAAAGCAATATATACCATTTTATTATATTTCATTGCTTGTGTATAGGCTGTCCCTTCAGACTACTTGTTCTTGACAGACAGAGGCAACATTTTATTCATATTTGGATCCCTGGAACTCAGGTTAGTGGCTGAGAGTCAAGTCTTCTGTAACTAGCTTTAGGTTATAGTATGTGGATTTGCTTTCTAAATCTCATACTTTCATTTATGATTAAAACATCTTTGAAACATTTGTATTATAGCACTGCAGAGTAGGGATCAAACATGAATAAAACATTGTTTCTTCTTTCAACAGCTGCTTCTTTACTGGGGACCTGAATGCCAAGCACAGTTGGGGATGCAGAGACGTGTAAGGCATGAGCTGTTTTCAAGTCCTTTATTATTTAGTTAGGGAAATAAAGCATCTGGCTAGCTGTGTGACTGTGGTTCTGTGGGTTAAGTTAGCCTCTTAAGGCCTTGGTTTCTATATTGCAGTACATTGGAAGTAAGAGTACAATAAATTTCATAGGGTTTGTGAGAATTTAATAACTTTATACATACAAAACACTTCAGTGCCTGGCATACACTAGGCACCTAGTAAATGTTAGCTAACATTACTATTACGAAAAATTAGCTAATAATATGAGCCAGTTTACAATAACCAGATGAATGATGAGGCTAATAGATCAGAAGTGAGTATTTAATGAATATTATAGAAGCTATACATTTGAATGACCACATCCTGATCTATTTTTATACTAGCACAAAATTCCATACATATTTTATTTCTAGAGATGTAATTTAGGAAAGCAATAATATGTTTATATTTTCGAGTAACATTTTATCTAATTGGAATTAGGAATGCTTTTAAAACATTTGGATGTGAGTTTCTGAGGAAAATGGTGACCTGGGAACATTCTAGAGAATACAACCATCCAGAAAAAGTCAAGGGCTGGTTTTGGCAACCAGAAGGGGTTCCGCATACAGGGACGCATCAAGACCTTGAAAGAAGGTGCCAGTTGGTGCTAAAGATGTAAATGAGAGTTAATGCGAGGTGGAGAGGGTGCATGATGAGAGTCAGCTGTCTTGGGTGGATACACAAAGAGGAAGGGAGAAATGTTTCTGCTGTTTGCATCATGCAGCAATGAAAGAGGCACACTGTTCCTCGGGTGATGGCACTTAGGAGAGGCAGTTTCCACATTGGGCTGAGGTCAACCTGTCTCTACTTGGACTTGTGAACTGAAGCCTTCTGCCACTCACATCAACAAAGGGGATAAGGCTGGGTGTGGTGGCTCATGTCTGTAATCCCAGCTCTTTGGGAGGCTGAGGCAAGAGGACTGTTTGAGCCCAGGAGTTTGAGATCAGCGTGGGCAATATGCCAAAACCCAGTATCTACAAAAAATACAAAAAATTATCTGGGCCTGGTAATATGCACCTGTAGTCCCAGCTACTCAGTAGGCTGAGATAGGAGGATTGCTTGAGCCCAAAGGTTTAAGGCTGCAGTGAACCATGATTGCACTGCTGCACTCCAGCCTGAGCCACAGAGTGAGACTTTGTCTCAGGAAAAGAAATAAACAACAAAGGGACTACGCTAATCACCAGCTAGTCACTAAAGGAAAAATGCCTACCTCAACTGTCAAATCAGAGGCAATGCAAATCTGTACCCTGTTAGTATAAATAGACAAAGAAAGATCACAACCCACTCAGGAACATGGCAGCTCAGTTAGAAGAGATTAAACTGAAAAACTGCCATAAGCCTCTACTATGGAGGTGGAGCTAAAGTAGAAAATAGAAGGAAACCTAGATAAAATATGATTAAAACTCTTGAAGGGTTACAATCATAGGACAAGAGAGAAGCCCCTGGAACTAGAAATAATGATTTCCTAATTTAAAAATTCAATAGAAGGATGTAAAAACAAAAGTAATATGTTTTTATTTCTTTTTCTTTTTACCTTTTATTTTAAGTTCAGGGGTACATGTACAGGTTTGTAACATAGGAAAATTTGTGTCATGGGGTTTTTTGGTATAGATTATTTTGTCACCTAGTTATTAAGCCTGGTACCCATTAGTCATTTTTCCTGATCCTCTCCCTCCTCCCACCAATAAGCCCCCGTGTGTGTTGTTCCCCTCCGTATGTCCACGTGTTCTCATCATTTAGCTCCCACTTATAAGTAAGAACATGTGGTATTTGGTTTTCTGTTTCTGCCTTAGTTTGCTAAGGATAATGGCCTCTAGCTCCATCCATGTTCCTGAAAAGGACATGATTTTGTTCGTTTTTATGACTGCAGAGTATTCCATGTGTACCACATTTTCCTTATCCAATCTGCCATTGATGGGCATTTAGGTTGATTCTATGTCTTTGCTGTTGTGAATAGTGCTACAAAGAACATATGTGTGCATGTGTCTTTAATAATAGAAGAATTTATACTCCTGTGGGTATATACCCAGTAATGGGATTACTGGGTCAAATGGTATTTCTGTGTTTAGATCTTTAAGGAATTATTACACTGTCTTCCACAATTGTTGAACTAATTTACACTCCCATCAACAGTGTATAAATGATCCTTTTTTCCTGCAACCTTGCCAGGATCTGTTATTTTTTGATGTTTTAGTAATAGCCATTCTGACTGGTGTAAGATAGTATCATAGTATCTCATTGTGGTTTTGATTTGCATTTCTCTAATGATCAGTGATGTTGAGCTTTTTTTCATGTGATTGTTGGCTGCATATATGTCTTCTTTTGAAAAGTGTCTGTTCATGTTCTTTGCCCACTTTTTAATGTTTTTTTTTTTTTTTTTCTGTAAGTTTGTTTAAGTTCCTTAAAGATGCTGGACATTAGACATTTGTCAGGTGCACAGTGTGCAAAAATTTTCCCTCATTCTGTTGTCTGTTCACTATGTTGATAGTTTCCTTTATTGTGCAGAAGTTCTTCAGTTTAATTAGATCCCATTTGTCAATTTTTGCTTTTGTTGCAATTGCTTTTGGCATCCTTGTCACGAAATCTTTGCCTGTTGCTATGTCCAGGATGGTATTGCCCAGGTTGTCTTCCAGGGTTTTTATAGTTTTGGGTTTTACATTTAAGTCTTCAATCCATCTTGAGTTGATTTTTTAATATGGTGTAAGGAAGGGGTCCAGTTCCAATCTTCTGCATATGACTAGCCAGTTATCCCAGCAGCATTTATTAAATAGGGAATCTCTCCCCCATTGCTTATTTTTGTCAGGCATGTAGAAGATCAGATAGTTGTAGGTGTGTGGCCTTATTTCTGGGTTCTCTATTCTACTCCATTGATCTATGTGTCTGTTTTTGTACCACCACCATGCTGTTTTGGTTACTGTAGCCCTGTAGTGCAGTTAAAAATCAGGTAGTATGATGCCTCCAGCTTTGTTCTTTCTACTTAGGAATGCCTTAGCTATTTGGGCCCTTTTTTCCTCCATATGAATTTTAAAAAAGGTTTTTCTAGTTCTGTGAAGAATATCAATGGTAGTTTAATAGGACTAGCGTTGAATCTATAAGTTGCTTTGTGTAGTATGGCCATTTTCATGATATTGATTCTTGCTATCCATGAACATGGAACTTTTTTTATTTGTTTGTGTCACCTGTGATTTCTTTGAGCAGTGTTCTGTAGTTCTCCTTGAAGAGATTTTTCACCTCCCTAGTTAGCTATATTCATCAATATTTTATTCTTTCTGTGGCAATTGTGAATGGGATTGGGTTTCTGATTTGGCTCTCAGCTTGACTGTTGTTTGTGTATAGGAGTTAGTGATTTTTGCACAAGGATTTTGTATGTTAACTGCTGAGACTGCATTCATGTTTTAGAAGAGTAAATTTTCAAAAAATGAAAGCATAGTTGAGAAAACAGAAAAGACTGGTCCAAGAGACCCAATATTTAAGTAGTTGCTAATCCAGAAGAAGAAATAAGGAACCATGGAGAAGTAGAAATCAAAGAAATAATAGAAAAAATCTTCCATAAACTATGCCTTTCCAGATCTTCAGATCTTCAGATCTTTATTTCAGATATGAAAGGATTTACCAGGTTAATGAAACAGAATTAATAAAAAACTATGGAGGGAAATATATCCTAGTCAAATTTCTGAACTCTAAGGATAGAAAAACAAACTTAAATTTGTTCAAGCAGAATTACCATATGGCTTACACCGGAAAGATAATTGCATCAAATAGGAAAAGTGTAAGGTGGGAGCAGGAATAGGGAGAAAGCCACATAGGTCAGGGCAGGTGACTGCCTGGCAAAGTGGGTTGTGCACCTGCCTGCTATTCTTCTGCAGTAGCATCAGCTCGCCCTCCTCCCAGGCCAGAAACGGCTACTTGACAGCAGATTGTTAAATAGCTCGCATTTCATTCTGCTTCAAATCTCTGACCCCAACTAGTTTAGACCAGACAGAGAGAGTGGCAACAGGAAGAAGAGAAGGAACCTACATAATGGACTGGCACTGGATAATCTGGCCAGGATGGACTGGTGAGACAGATGTTCCTGTTTATCAGGATTAATTGAATTGCTATTAAAGAATCAGAAAAAAACAATTCAACCTGAAAATTTTGGAATTTTTTCTTGTGTGGCTCTTGATCTATGGCATGTTGTACTTCCTTCTGTGTTGATGACCTGGACTTTTTTATACTGAAGATGAAGAAATAGAAAAATCCAAATATGCCACACTGTGACCAATTTGCCATAGTATATTTGATGATTGGAATATAATATGGAGAGGTTTATGGAACAGATAATCTTTAAACACCTAAAACCAGAACTTGAAGTCCATTGATTTCTTGTAACCTCTGCTGAACATGCCACAAAACAAAGATAGACTGCTGAATTAACATTTGAGCTTTTCGATTTTCTAGGCTTCTAACTGACTGTATAGACCAGCTTTGCATTAGCTGCA